TTTTTTTCCTTTAAAAGATTTACAGTTTATCTAATGAACCGTAATTGATGACTACAAGGTGGTCAACAAAAAATGAGAGGTACTGATCTGTGTAAATATATTATTATATTTTCTTTAAAAGGACTCGAAAAGCCCCTTCCTCTTCCAACATGACTGTGCACCAGTGCACAAAGCAAGGTCCATAAAGACATGGATGACAGAGTCTGGTGTGGATGAACTTGACTGGCCTGCACAGAGTCCTGACCTGAACCCGATAGAACACCTTTGGGATGAATTAGGGCCTTCTTGACCAACATCAGTGTGTGACCTCACCAATGCGCTTTTGGAAGAATGGTCAAAAATTCCTATAAACACTCTCCTCAACCTTGTGGACAGTCTTCCCAGAAGAGTTGAAGCTGTAATAGCTGCAAAAGGTGGACCGACATCATATTGAACTCTGGGTTAGGAATGGGATGGCACTTCAGTTCATAGTATGAGTCAAGGCAGGTGAGCGAATACCTTTGGCAATATAGTGTATGTTCTGGCCAACAGAACTTCAGAAACAGGGAGGAATGGCCACGCAATTGTCAAGGTCTTACAGGAACCGGCTGGTCATTTCAGTGTTTTCTCATTGAATACGTGAGTTTTAGCACAAGTCAAATGGTTGATAATAGCAGAGAATATCATTTTTTTCCACAGCATACTACAACCTTTACAAACACCAGGACTGTGACTCCAAGTACAAACACTAATAATGATTATCAGTACTACTACTACTTTGACCAATACTACAGTGTCACTGTATTTTTTTTTCTTGCTGTATTATGGCTATTTCCTAAAAGACAGACAGTCAGCACAGTATTTCTTATTTTGTGTAACTTTGTTGGTCTCTAACACGTTTAGGGTTAAAAATCTGTTTCTCCAAACACAACTTGTGGCACTGTACATGTTAAACTTTTGAACTTTTTAATCGGTTTCTTATCTCCACGAGGAGAAACATTTTTGCTTTTAATTATCTCGATAGACTTGTTCTATCGAGATAATTAAAACAAAAATGTTGCTGTGCCTCTCTTCACCGCATACCATCGCAATCCTTTGGGGTTGCAGTGAGTTCCTTTTTTTTTAGATTAGATTAGAAGCAGCTGGAAAAATATTTGAATGTAGTGTGGCATGATAGGAGGCGGTGACACACCTTTGTGTACTCACGCAGACAGGGTGTGGCGTTTTGTCAGTGCCTCGACAAGAGAGTTGGTAGATGTACCAAGATGACCTGGAAAAGTGAAAAGGGGAAAACGTTTCTTTATCTATTACATCTATTACATTTATAGTTCATTGTATTGTTCAAAACCATTTTTGTAATTTGTTTTTTTTTTTTAAAAATGGAACAAATAGAGGAGCACTTCAAACCAGATAAAATTAATGAAGACAGTGCTTCTCAAATAATGGTGCCCACTGGGGTAGGGTGCAGTTTGAGGTGTCACAGGAGGCGTGAGAGAGGATTCCAGTTTACTGTCTTTATTCACGCTTGAACGATAAACACGATACAGTCACTAGATGGCAGCAGAGTCGGCTTTATTAATCTACAGTGATAATCAGGGGATAGGTATGTAGAATGCTGGTTCCAGCAACTCATACAGTGGTTTGTACAGATAAGTAAATAAATATTACCAGGCGCTCAATAGGGGGTGCAACAACTTCTTTCCTGGTCTTTTTATTTATTTCCTTTTTTTTTTTTTTTTGCTGCAATGAAAGTCTGTTGCTCACGTATATATCGCTATATTCAGTAGCGATATATACGTGTTTACTGTCTTTATTCACGCTTGAACGATAAACAAACCTATAGTCACTAGATGGCAGCAGAGTCGGCTTTATTAATCTACAGTGATAATCAGGGGATAGGTATGTAGAATGCTGGTTCCAGCAACTCATACAGTGGTTTGTACAGATAAGTAAATAAATATTACCAGGCGCTCAATAGGGGGTGCAACAACTTCTTTCCTGGTCTTTTTATTTATTTCCTTTTTTTTTTTTTTTGCTGCAATGCAAGTCTGTTGCTCGCGTATATATCGCTATATTCTAATGTCGGTCATCATGGTGGTACTCAGAGAGCTCAATGTTTTCCCAGGTGGTACAGAGTATAACAAGTTTGAGAACCACTTCGCTAGGGGGTGCATGGTAGAAAATATTTGATATTACCATTTGTTAGACATGGATAGATATGGATATGATGGATATGGATAGATTGATTACTAAAATACCACGTTAAAGACAATTTTCTGTTCACAAAAAGATATGGAAAAACGAGAGCGAGGATTAAAAATTACATTATTATTATCAGGTATTCATTTTACACATCTTTTTTTTTTTCGGCATTGGACAAAATCCCACCTTGCCCGCTCTATCATCTGTGAAATAGTTTGGGTGTGGCTGTGTGTGATAATCAGTTGCATGTGAGAGAGACAGGCAGAGACATCTCAGCCCTTATTGTCTCCAATGAACCACATCTGTGACTCATTACAGCAACTCTCTGAGCTGTTCTGCTTACACAAATAAATCTGCCTGTGCACAAGGCACTACCCTAGACTTGGAATGAGTGAAATGTTTCAAGGGTGCTGTCATTGTGCGAGAGAGAAAAAAGAAAGTGTTCAGCTTTTTTTTTTGCAAACGTGTTATTAATCACTTTAAAGTTGGGTTTGGTGCAATGGAAAGCCGTATTAAATAGAATGTAGTAGTCGCAAAAACACAAGGTAGTAAAAGAAGATCTCTCTGAAACTGGTTCCCAAACTGGGGGGTATGTCCCTTTTAGGGTCCGAGCTGTTTCGTTTTGTCTAACTAAAGGGGTACATTCAAGAGATTGAAGCTTAAAAAGAGAAAAGAAAAATCTGTTTCAAGCTTCAGCTTCCCCGGTTTAAAAAAGCCTGAATGGCTTTTGGGACCATTACCTATTACAAAGTAAAATGTTGCTATAAAGACAGCAAAAAAAGACAACAAAAAAGCGCAAACACACAAACCAGCATCAAGGACCAGGAGAGAAACAATAACAAAAATCTTACATTTACAGCGATCAAAATCTTTTCATTTTCTTGTTCTTCTTTATGTCCTACGAATTCCCTGGCCTTTGTAATTTTCCGCTTTTTATTTTTGTTGTGTGTCTGCTTGTTTTGTGTCGATTTTGTACCTGTACTTTTGTACCGTATTTTCTGGACTTGAAGTT